TATATATATGCATTTATACACACACACACATATATATGTTTATTTGTTTGTTTATTTATTTAACTATACCTTTTATTTTGTTACGCTTTTGAATGGCTTTTAATGGAGGCTTTTTGGGCCCAGAGAGGAAAATGTTTATTCAATAATAACTTGTTTTAGAAGACTTCCAAATTCCAATATGTTTTATTTTATTTTATTGTATATACCTTTTCTGTGTTTTTTGGAATTTGACTGCTTTAGTGACCTGGAAGAGATATAAAAAATTTAATAAATAAATGCTTGCTTTTTAATGCATTATGATGGTTTCAGTGTTATTTTAGCATTATACTATTATAGTTTTTGTTAATATTTTGAATTAGATTTTATTTTTATGTTTTCACTTTAATATTTTAGTACTAAACGAAAATTAGAATTTGACTGCTTTAGTCTACATTGTATGGAAAACCATTTTTCTATTCTATTCTATTCTATCTGTTTGTTTTTCATTCAAAAAAAGAAAAGTCACACGGTTTGTAATGACGTGATGGTTAGTAAATGCCAAAATACAAATTTAACCCTATTAAGCCTACATGCCGTTTTGATTCTAATAGTTTTAGTAGAATTAATTTCAAGAGTTTATAACTCAGCGACATCCCAAAAACATCATGCTGAACTCCGTCACCTTCGGTTAAAACTCAAACCTCATGAATCAGTTTTCAGGTGCTTTTTTACAGAGAACGTAATGAATAAATCATAAAAGATGATCATGGTGATTTACACTTTTAAAATAAAAATAAAACACCTAACCCTAAATGCACACACAAAGACTGATGTGGAAGGCATGAGAGATGCTGTGGCGCCCCCTGTGGAGTTTGTTTGTCACTGCAGCCTGTCAATCAGATGTTGTTTCTTTGATCACCTACTTGTTATACAGCACTATGTCCGGCTTCCAGATGAACTGCGCCGGTATCCGCATCGAGGTGATGTTCTCATAGTCTGCGGGCCTCCAGCGGAGCCGGTAATCATGCCATTCCTAATGGAGAGAGGGGCCGTGATTAAACGAGCTGTCAGGAATCAGGATGAGTCAGAGCAGGACAGAGAATCGTGTTTAACAGGGAAACACTCACTTGTTTCACCCACACATTCGTGGTCATCATTTGATTTTTTTCATCCTGGTGAGGGACATAAAGCAATCATGACATTTAATGCAACCACAGCCACACGTTTCATTATAACACAGCATAAAGGTTTGGCTATATTGTTATTGTTATATTCAGTGTTGGGGGAACACATTACAAGTAACGCGAGTTACGTAATCAGATTACTTTTTTTCAAGTAACTAGTAAAGTAACGCATTACTTTTTAATTTACAAGAGAATATCTGAGTAACGTTTTCAGATAAGTCACGCAAGTTACTTTTTTTTTCCTCCAATGTATTGACTGACGGCTCTTCTGTCGCCATGTTGAGAGAAATCAGAAGATGTTACTGTAGTTCTAAAATAAATATGAATATGCATTAATTCATCTCACTCACACACACAGATTCAGTATTCCTCAAAATGAATAAAAATAATGCAACTCAGAATATGACGCAAACCTGCAATAATTAAATCTTAAACAACACAAATGTATTGGAATATCCATATTTATTTAAAAAAAAAAAGACATTGCATTATGACAAGAATATGACGCAAACCTGCAATAATTAAATCTTAAACAACACAAATATGCTTTATGTATTTAATCCCATTCTATTAACCAATGTCTTTGCTTCTGACCTTCGATGATCCAGTTCAACCGTACTAATAAGCACAAATTACTTTGTTTATTGCTGAAGTGTGTTGAAATGTCTTCTTCTGCATTCTACTGTACTTTCCCTTCAGCCTGAGGTTTATTCATTTCACTTTTGGTGAGAAAAGGCTTTTATATTCGCCAAAAATAGAACTTTTTTATTTTAAAACCAAACAAGCAAGCCCTGTCCAGATTTAAAAAGTAACGCAAAAGTAACATAACGCATTACTTTCCATAAAAAGTAACTAAGTGACGTAATTAGTTACTCTTTTTATGGAGTAACGCAATATTGTAACGCATTACTTTTAAAAGTAACTTTCCCCAGCACTGTATATATTGTTTTGGTGATCGATCTGTGAAATATATAAGTGTTATGCCATTACAACACTACAGTAAAATTGTTTATGAAGAAGTAAATCCCGTTATCAAACCAGAAACATAATATTTAAGAAATAGTTTTTAAAATATGCTTATTTTATTTTATTTCACATTGCATAACGTTTTTTTTTATGGTTTTAGTTTAACTATAATAACTCTTCCCCTTTGGAATTCTATTTTTTGGCATAATAATACAAAAACAAATACATTTTAGCATTCATAAAAATAAACGATTAAATAAATAAATAAAGCATGAAACAAATGAAATCTATTTAAAAAAAAAGACATTGCATTATGACATTTCCATGTTTTTTTTTTCTTAAAAACTTAAATTCGGCTTCAATTTCTTTATAAAAAACTGTAAGAAAATCCAACACATGTGAAGGAATTTTCTGTATTCACTTTTTATGGAATACATTTTTTTTGCTTTTTAAAATAAAATATAATATAATATAAAACTATTCACGTATCGACCTTATTTTTAATGTAAGCGCAGGCGCAGCCGTTTGTAACTCAAAAGTGTTTATGTTACAGAATAAGGTGGATATACTAGTTACAAGTTTAAAACATAGGTTTATGTATTTTAAGTTCTAAACCAATGTGTTTGAGAGGACAGGAAGATGTTTTGATTACATTAGTAATATTTCAGCCAGCTGTTGGCTTATAGAGAAATACATGTATTTCCTGCAGAAGAGATTGTACCACATCAATGAGCTGGGCGATGGACAGCCCAAAGCGGACGTGAACCACATCAGTGATGTTCTGAACCGGACGGGCCAGTTTACTGTATCCTGTGAGCAGAAACCTCAGCAGACGGTCTTCAGCCGGAACTTCACCACAACAGACTAGACACGGACAAGACACAAACAAAAATCTGTCTGCACAAGGAAATGCACATACACAAGATCAGATATAAGTCAGATATACAGTATAGAGATCAAAAGGGGAACCAAAGTCTGCGATCATACGTCAGAGAGATCAATTTATGGACTCATCAAACAAGCAGAAAACATAAATAAATAAATAAAAATCATCCAATCAGAACAGTGAACAGAAAGGGAGGGTCGTTTTTATTAATATTTTGAATTAGTTTATATTTTTATATTTTATTTTTTGTTTTCATTTTAGTTAAAGTTTTGTCATTATTATTATTATTGTTGTTGTTATTATTATTATTTTAAAATATGTCTGTACTGGTTTTATGCATTTATTTCAAGTTAACTTTAATTCAAGTTAACAAGTCAACCAACTTGTTTTAGTTAAGTTAAACTTAATAAAAATAAGATGATGCTGCAATAAAATAAGTTTTTTTTGTTTATATTTTATTCTGTTTCAGTTTACTTTATATCCCATAAACATTTGTTATTATTTTAATTTGAGTTAATTATAATAACCATTATCTGCTTTCTGTGCTTTATGAAAAGTCTATTTAGTGTATAATAATGCAAAAATAAATAAATTTGATCGTTCTTAACAAATATTAGAATAGAATAATAAACAGTGCTTTAAACTAATTAAATCTATTTTTAGAACAATTAATTTTTCTTTTTGCATTGTGACATTTTCATTATAATTCATGACAGGTTCATTTCTTTTTCGTAAAAATATAAATTAGGCTTCATTTTCTTTAGAAATGAATAAAAAGTCCATAAAAATACAGCACCATGTACCATGTTATCATTCCATATTGATTTTTCATAGGAATTTTATCTGTATTTTCAATGATGTATCTCATTGTTTTATGTTAAATGGTTGATGGAAATGTCTGAAACTTAATGGAAAAATCTCTGGCAATTTTCCACCAGAACTTAATCAGTTTTCTATGGATTTTTTCTTTCACGGTGAATATATAAATACATCATTTCATTTTTTTCTTCTTCTGGATTTTGGGACGAAATATGACCCAGATTTTCATAAAATGCATTAAAAATATTTTTCGACATGAATGCATTCCTTGTTGCTTTAGTGATGTGTACTCTGAAGATGCAATGCTTTACCTTGAGGAGGATAAAACAGCAGAAGGACCAAAAGATGAGGACAGCGAGGCATGATCAAGCGTCTTCAGAGGATCTTCAGTGTCCTTGATCTGTTTTTTTTGTCCTGAAAACTTCCAAAAGCACTTTCTTTTCATCTCATTCTGTCCCGCGACTCTCAGAACGACCAGAAATCCATTCAAACCACGTCACAAAGAATGAAAATGTCTCCACACTTTCAATGAAGAGCTCAGGTGCATCAGTTTATCTGCTTTAATTTCGCATGCATTTCAGGAAAAACACATTTCTATGACAGAATCATCTCATTCCTTCAAAATAAATGTCTTCACTGGAAGAAAACCTCTGAAAAACACACATTAAACAGCATTCCCTGGAGAAAAAGGACTGCCTTTCTTTTAGACACTCAGCATCCATTCAATGCATCTGGGACCTTCGGACCCTTCGGCAACATCCGGCTGCATTCACACAGAGCACATCAGTTCATCTGCATTCACAGTCTTCATCAATGTCACACTCAGCATCCATCACGCTTTACATGACACAATGCCCCGCCCACATCTGATCCTGACATTGTAGGTCATGCTAAATGTGATGTTTTATCTCACACTCATGTACTTCGTGCACATATTCATGTGTAAGTGCATGTGTGTGCAAGATTTATGTGCATATTTACACTTCAAGAGGCTGCTAATGGACCAATTCCATTACATACATGACAAGCTTCCGCTTTCACTAATATGAATGCAATAATAACCCCACAAAAACATGATCAGGTTAGAAAAAATCTAAACAAAAAAACCCTGTCTCCAACACCTGAGGAGTCAATTTAGACTTTGACAATCAGCAAATTCAAAAAGACATTGTATAACCAGCTTTTATCTAAAAAAAATGTAAAATAGAATATACAAAAGACATCAAGAGAAACCAAACAACAATGTGCCAAAAATAATTGGCTCTGCACAAACATGAAAAAGTGAAACCAGGATTGTTTTGCATTCAATATGAAGTGAACTGCATTGCAATAATTGCACTCAGAGATTGCTTTAAAAAGGTTTGACAGTTCATTTGGAGCATTCACATGTACACCAACATTCCTGCAAACCACGCTCCGAACAAATATGCGGTTAGTTTGTTTGATTCATTTTTTTATAGAAGAATTCATATTAGCTTGTAAGTGACCCCAGTCACAAATAAAATGGACGGAATGAGATCTGAGGCCAGTTTTAAAGGCAGAAGCAATGTAATTGAACAAGAAAAGACTAATGCACCCATAGATGGCAGACATGGACAGCATGGTTTCTGAGAAGAAAATCTGGGATCTTTTTAACTTTTTGTGCTGTTAGTTTGGTTTGTTTAAGGCAAGACGCTTCAGGCAAAACCATTGTGTTTTCATGCACAGATCAGTTCTGAGATTTTGCTTCCATAACTTGTCTATGTTCAGACAAGTAGAAAGAAAACATCCAAAATACACTTGTTTTACTACACTTAATCGATTTGCATCTGTATTTCAATTTCCAATACATACTGAGTTTTTTCTTCACTTCAGCAGCACTTCCTTCAGATTCCTACCTATAGTTTTTTTGTTCATATATCATTTGCCGGATTTATATAAAATAGTATACCTAAAAACATGGTGAAAATGTATTTTCTTTCTGGCCGTTGACAGTATTTTCTGATTGAAAATATTCAAAATCATCACTTTTAGATTACTTTTGACCTAACTCATTTATCACATTGAATTGAATGAAATTATTGCGTAATTTATTGAGAACAAAAAAGAAACATTCTTTATTATCAACATCATGAAATGCATTAAACATTAGCGCAGGGTTTCCCAAACTGTATATTAGTGGTAGGTTCATTTAGAAAGGCAAATTTAAAAAGAAAAAAAGATTAGGTTACTCTAATCTGACTATGAGCCTTTAAAAACTAATATAATCTAATTACAAGTACTTTATTTTTGGAATCTGATTATGCAATCCAGATTACATGTAATCAGTTACTAGCCAGCACTTCTTATAATCTCTACATTACATCCTCAACAGATAATATAACTAATTAAACTATAAAGCCTATATTCTGTTAGTAAGCCACTATTCTTTATTTAAATTTTTTTTTTGCCAAATCTGCCAAATGATTTGTATTTTGAAAAGCACTTTGTAAACTCATTTGAACTGTTTGAAGCCCTTCGTTAGTTATGTAAAACATCATTAGATGAACATGAACGACAGCAGCATTTGAACTTTATGATATACAAAGTTTATTGTACATTTGCCCATGAGCTCATGGATCTGAGTGACTACACGACGGATATGCTACATAATAATCAAAAGCTATATAGATATGGCATTCAGCGGTTCAAAACATGCCGGCAAGCATTTACTTTTCTTGAGAAGAAAAATAAAAGACAACAGTGCTCATCATTTGTGAAAAACAACAATCATGGATTTGATCCGAGACTGTCGAGTAAACATAGGTATGATGATAAAATGACATTAGCTAAAGCCATTATGTGTGTGTTAGCTGTAAAACAACATTTCTGTCAATGTGAATCGCATAAGTGCCACTTACCACACATAGACAAGAAACTTAAGGCTTGCAGGATTTGTGACATGCCGTGTAGTATCACAAACTTTCCTTCTGCTGGATTCATGCACTCTTCTAGAGAAAGCCATTGCCGCCACGGAAATAACAAATAAAAAGGTAAATGTGACTTTTTATATCACAATTCTGAGAGGAAAAGCCCAAATTGTGAGATATAAACTCAGAATTACAAGACAAACTCTGAATTATGAGATATAAACTCAGAATTACAAGATAAACTCGGAATTATGAGATATAAACTCAGAATTATGAGATATAAACTCGAACAGAATTGTGAGACAAACTCAGAATTATGATATAAACTCAGAATTATGAGATATAAACTCAGAATTATGAGATATAAACTCAGAATTACGAGATATAAACTCAGAATTACGAGATATAAACTCAGAATTACAAGATAAACTCAGAATTATGAGATATAAACTCAACTCAGAATTGCGAGATATAAACTCAGGATTATGAGACAAACTCAGAATTATAAGATATAAAACTCAGAATTATGAGATATAAACTCAGAAATATGAAATATAAACTCATAATAAACAAAAAATTATAAGATATAAAATCTGAATTATGAAGCAAAAAGTCACAATTACCTTTCTTATTTTTTATTTCATGGCAGAAACGGGCTTCCATAGATGACGAATAATGCGGTCAACCTGGTTTCTGAGAAGTGCCAAGCTAAGATTTCTTCCTCAAACAAGCGTTTAACATTCAAAAAGCTAAACTTTTGGTCATCTTGATTACATTTTGGGAGTAAAAGCAAGACTAGCAACTTTTTTGTTAAAAAGACCATGACTTTTCCCAGCCAAGTGTATGCTGGTTAGTGCTGGTCATTCTGGTGATGCTAACTGACCGCGTGAGTCCTGCTGGTTAAACGAATTAAAAATCCTAGTAGTGCAGAATCACTAATACCACATATGCAGTTAACAAATGCATCTAAAGCAAAGATTTACTTGTTTACTCGTCCTTTCAGATATCGCAAACCTGTCTGACAGATTCTCGTGCCGCAGAAGCTGGTTGTGTTGATCTACAAAGTATGTGAAAGTTGGGAGTCTGTACAGTGAAAACAAAATGACGGCATTTAGAAATACATTCACAAACATTTCAGGACCAAACTGACCTCCAGTAAACATTTACACACAACAGGAACAAAACCGACTGCGTTATAAAAGATGCCAAAGGCAATTTAGCAAAATACAGTAGATTCTTTGGAAAACAAAGTGAAATCAAGCAAGGCAGCTGTGACGATGTTCAACTCAAACCACTGAACTCAACTGTCCCTTACAAACAAGTACTGTGGTGTTACCGTAGTACAGTGACGGCAGAGAATACCATATGAGGGTACACCAAGGTACTTCAAAGAATACCAGGGTATTGACGTAGTGCTTTTGTTGTAAGTGATTTTCAGCTTCAGAACTGCCACATGACCCAACTGAACCAATGACTTACATCTATATGTCTCTGTTAGGGTAAATGATGTTCAGTGGTCATTTACCACAGTATTCTAACTGTACATTATGTAATTATTGTATGTTATATTAATCCAGTACTTAATTCTGCTGCTTTTGCTGAATTTTAAGCATTTTGCATTCAAATCGGGGAGGTCGGGGCTAGTTGTCACATGGCAAAAAGGGTTTTAAGTAAAAAGTGAAAATAGCCTACACACCAATGGTTTTTCTCTAGCTATTTTTGTGTTTGTTGGTTTGTTGCTGTGTTTTTTATTTAGATAGCATTACGTATTTCAAACAAATGTATTTTTAACATCACTATCAGAAGGAGGTTCCCTTTGTGGTAGTGTCACAACATGCCCCATTATACACTGTAAAAATTATTTTTCAAGTGCTGTTATTGGAGTATGTTTTACAAGAGAATACTTTTTCAGTCTTTCTACTTCCAAAATGTCACATTTAATTCAATGCAACTTGCCAATTATTGTGAAATTTACTAGCAATTTCTGAGTGAAAAGTGTTAAATTCTACACCAATTGTTTTCATAAGTTTGATTTTTCAGCAAATGCATGAACTGATAAAATGTAAACCTTGCATGCAATGTAATTCTCATCGGATAAAAGCGTTTTCCAAATGCATGAACGTAAATTAACAATTTTTCCTGAGCAACAGCGTTTTGTAAATCAAGACTTTTAGAATTTTGTCTGTAAATAAATAAGTCACCGTGTGACAACTAGCCCCGGTCTCCCCCATCTGTCCAGCACAAGCATTAAAGGGAGCGTTAGAGAAAGACTGCGGCGAATGATACGGAAGACGGATGATGTGAACGAGCTATCCCCTTTGGAGATGTGCAGTCTGCATGTGTGCTGTTTAACACATATGGATGATTTCTGCAGGAAACATACATTAAATCCGGTCAGCTGTCCGGTCTCGATACAGACATTTTTGTTCAGTATGGTTTCAACCAATAAAACAAACCATAGAAGGCAACAGAACATCAATTACATTAGAACAAGGCAAAACGACACGGTGCATTTCTCATGTGCTCTCAGTAAATTAGTGCATTGAAAAGAGTATTTATCCCTGTTTCATGAGTGAGATTCAATTAACTAACAAACTAACTAAATGATTAGTTCATGTTCAACTTTATACTACATCTGGCCCTCATGTTTTCTGATGGCATGTTTTAGAAAATGAGATGATTTTTTATGTCGAATGATCGTGACGTAACAAGCAGACATATTATATTATTAAACGGATACTTTTGTTGTTACAGAAATAGTTTTAGAAATTGCTTTGGAAGGTTTAGTATCTTTAAGAAAAGAAAAATATTGGCAGAAAATAGGCTTATTTTCATCATTATTTCAAGAAGCTGTTAATTTGCGGTATGAAATTAACTTTAAATATACAATCTTACTAAATATTCCTAATTTATTGACATGCAAATTATTAATTCAGGGAGTAATAAAAAACTGTAAACTTGAGAGAAAGTGATATTTTATATTTCATATGTACTTGAAGTGAATTTCCTAACCATGGTAATTAATTAAGGGAATATTGTGATCAACATTAAGTGACCTGCTTTAGAGATGTTTTCAAATTCACAAGCTGTCGTGAAGTACATTCACAAGCGAACATGGACGACACGGTGCTACAGAGACATGATTTAAAGCGATAGTTCACACTAAAATCTCAATTCTCTCATTATTTACTCACCCTCATGTCAATTATCATCAAACAACGACTTATATTTCACTGATTTCATAATTTCAGAAGACTTGCAATATGGTACTAAGTCAAATAAACGACCTTTCTATAAACTAGTCTTCCTGTAGCAATGCTAAGGTTTTGGGTTCGAATCCCAGGAAAGCAAGAAACTATACAACATGTGTTGAATGTAGGGCTGCATAATGAATTGTATTTTAATCGTAATGACAATTTCTGCTTCTCCTGATTTAGTAAGCATAATCATTTGTGATATTTGTCTGCTGGTTATTTATCCAGAAAACATTTGATTTTAATTAGTCATTTCTGCTTTCTTGCATTGGTAACAAGCTTCCACAAACGTTAAAGGTTGTGGTTGCCAGATCAAGATTGAAATCCGCCAATCAGAGCTTTTCTTCATAAATCGATACATTTCTTGCCTGGTGGTTTATTTAATCTTTATGTGTAAAGAAACGAAAAGAAAAAAAAACTATTTTTTTCAGGCCAAAGCTTTAAATATATGCTAAATATATGTTGTAAACAGCGAAGCTTAATGATTTTTGAAAAACTGAAAATGATATTTTTGAAATTGAAAATATATTTTGTTTACAACAATATTTAAAAAATGTATTACAGGGGAAAGAAAATACATTTCAAATGTCACATTTAGGCTTTATTCAGTATTTAATTTTCTTCAAATGTGATGGATTTAAATATATGGAGGGCAAAATATATTTTTAAATGCTTTTAATAAAGTTCTATTTTAGCAAATATATTTTTTGGACATTTTTTATATTTTCAAATTTATTTCAACATTTTATTTGATTTTCTTTTCTTATTTTTGCTGTATGGGAATTATGTGAGTTGACATTCTCTTGGTTTGTGCTTATGTCCGAGTACAATAATTTTGATTAAATGTAAAAAGTAAATAAATAAAATGAAATTATTATTAATCGTGACTGTATTCTTTGAACAGTATAATTGTGATTAACTGTTTAACCATTGTCATGCAGCCCTACTTGAATGCAATGTTGCATTGGATAAAAGCATCTGCCAAATGCATAAACGTACCTTCATGATATTTTTATGGTGCTTTTGAGTAGTTTTGGTTCTTTTGGAGCTTGACAGATGCAAAAACTGTCCTTGTTTGAAAAAGATTTCTTCTTTTGTGTTGCACAGAAGAAAGCAAGTCATACCGTTTGGTGCGACATGAGGGTGAGTAAATAACGACAGGATGTTTGCGAGATTTTTGAGTGAACGATCCTTTTAACCAGCTAACGATGTGAAATCAGTGAGACATTCTTAAAGACGCAAACGCACCACATATGTGACCCTGGAGCACAAAAGCAGTGTTAAGTCGCTGGGGGATATTTGTAGCAATAGCCAACAATACATTGTATGGGTCAAAATTATCAATTTCTCTTTTATGCCAAAAATCATTAGGATATTAAGTAAAGATCATGTTCCATAAATATATTTAGTAAATTTCCTACAGTAAATATATCAAAACTTCATTTTTGATTAGTGATATGCATTGCTAAGAACTTCATTTGGACAACTTTAAAGATGATTTTCTCAATATTTAGATTTTGTATTTTTTTTTGCACCCTCAGATTCCAGATTTTTCAAATAGTTGCATCTCGGCCAAATATTGTCCTATCCTAACAAACCATACATCAATGGAAAGCTTAATCATTCGAATTTCAGGTGATGTATAAATCAATTAAAAAAATGACCCTTATGACTGGTTTTGTGGTCCAGGGTCACAAATGAAATGCTAAAGACTCTCCCAGCGTCTTTCACGTTAAAATCCATCCTACTCCAGACATGAGCCGATGGATAAGCAAGTGCTCGGCTCGCAGAAGCCACTGCATTGCATCTTCACTGCGTCTTGCCGTTTTCCACCGTTTTTTCCGCCCGAGGAGCCGAAGAAAAACGCTGCTTTTTAAACACGCAAATGCAGTCCAGTGCGTGTTTGGCTCCAGAATCTGGTCGAATCCCGGATTTGCGAGGTTTACTTCGGGCCGGACCATCCTCTGTCCGCATAGGCACCGTCTCCAGTGGCGGAGTGGGGCGACGGGGCGCACAGATCGGAGTCCGTGTCCGACTCGCCCTCTGCGATGTACGGCCTGACTTTAGTGCAGCGCGACACGCCGCTGAAGTAGGCGTTGTTGAGGAAGTCCAGGTTCTCTTTGGACTGCGAGATGCTGAAGCCGCTGAAGGAGCGCTCCAGTTCCTCGTGGTCCACCGAGGGGATGGATATGGACGTGTCGCTCTCGGCTCCGGCCTGCTGCTTGGAAAGAGCCAGCGGGCGTCCATCTTCGCGCCGCGATGCATGATGCTGTCCAGCCCCGCGAGAGCCTCCATTGTGGCCGGCGGATGAGCGCTCATGGGCCGGAGGCGGCGGGATGCGCACTAGCGACGGGTCGCCCGTGGGTGACGTTCCTTGCGTAGGTTCGGGGCGGCTGTGAAGGTGCCAAGATGTGGAGGGCGGGCAGTGGTGGTTGACGCAGGTCGACAGCGGCGGGTCAAAATTCTTCTGACCTGCTGAGCTGTTGGAGCGGATGATTTTGGTGATGGAGCCGCTCTTCTCCATGTGCTCCACCGGACTGTGGTACGGCGGCGCCGGGTCCGGCTCCTTAGAGGCGAAGTAAGCATCTGTCTCAGACTGCGGGATGCCCATGCGCTGGATGTAGATGTTGACCAGAAAATCCAGCTTCCTCTCCATTGACATCACCTAAAAAAAGAAGGAAATCTGATTTTTTTTTGTTGCTTAGAAACAACTTTTACTAACAGCTTGCACCAGCACAAACCGTCTTTTGGTGTTAAAATAGTACTGTCAGGATTTACTAAAGACACGCAGTGAAGATTTAGCGCTGAAGGGTGGGGCTGTGATAAAACACCACTGTCAATCAACAATCGTGGGAGGGGCCTGTGCAGAACTATGTCACTCTGCCAAAAATCTGAGAACAGCCTGATCTGAGAAAGTGCTTATTAATATTGGGATTTAAAAAAAGCACTGTGTGGATTTTTATCATTATAGAGTGGATGTCTACACACAGTGAATTTTGCATCCGATGACCCCTAAATCACACAACGAGATTTACTAACGTTTGCACTCAACAAATTACTGGTATTACAATAAAAGCCATTATAAACGACACATTTGTTGCATCCAGTGGGGACATAATTACTGATTATAATGACTTATACTGTCTTTTTACGCGTTGTGTATCGCGCTGCGTAAACATAAAACCATGTCTGCATTTGTGATCGGAGAAACGACGAACAACAAGCCCTATTCTAAACTGCTCAAAACTCACGTTTGAATCATCAGTGGCAAATTCTTTAAATATGAAAACATACTTACAGGCTGTGAGTCAGAAGAATCAAAGTTACGCCTTCTTTCTTTGTGTGAACATTTGGGTGGCGTTATGCAAATCTTCCCACACAGTGATGTAGATATGTGGGGGCGTGTTTAAACGAGGCGTTTTAGGAGGGTGTGTCTTTAGTCTTTGCAACTTTAGGGATCTTATCTATTCACGAACAGCTTGTAACACTCCAAAGAGAAAGGAAAACTTGAAATCGCATCATATGACCCCTTTAATTTGCACGTTTTTAATAAATCACCCGCAGAAATTTCCACACTCATCGGCGCTGTTTTGGAATTGCGCTCTCGCGCCAATTTGCCCTGTTTAGTATATATAATAAATATAATAGCCTAGTAAATCTCTCAAAGAGTGTCCAAATAACGTAAAAAAAAAAAAATGGAAGCAATTTTAATACATAAACATTTTTGTTATGATTAAAAGTTAATTCAATACATTAACATATTAATTATGATTCAAATGTATTTAATGCATAAATTCAACTTTCAAGTTATGATAAAAGAATTCAATACATGAAATAAAAATGTTGGTTATTATTAAAACTATTTAATGCATAAAATACACATTTGAGGTATAATTAAAAACATTATTCAATATATAACAACACATTATAATTATGATTAAACATAATTTGATAAACATTATACTTAACATTTAAAAAAAGGAAAAACACATTTTTTTGTATACGTTTATGTAATGTACTAGTATAATTCTCATTACCAATATGTTTCGATGAAGAAAAGAAAAACGATTTCGTTTTTTATTAAACGATTAAATTTACTTAATTAGTTCAAGAATTGAGTTATTCAGAAACAAGTTTAAACATACGATACTGTATTTAGTTTTTATTTTTATATAACTTAGTTTGGAAACAACCTCTTAACATGCTTTTAACATTAAGTTTCTCACATGAGTGAATTCAAAATGTCATATAAAGAATCATTTTAAATGTATTTCTTTCTTTATATCAGTAGCAAAATTGAACATTAAATAATGTATATATCAATCAATCAGCAAACAGGTGTGTGACTGACCTGTTTCTCCACTTTCCCAAGCCGTCCCATCATACTGGGATCTTCTGGCAGTTCTGCATCCGTGGTTCCTTTCGGACGATCCTTGTCTGTTACTGAAGGACTCCGACCAACAATCTGATCCACTCTAACAATCAATTAGAGACATGAAACATCTAGAATAAAAACTTCATAACTCATCAGTCTTCTGCAAAAAAAAAAAAATAGGTCAACCAGTGGCTCATTACACATTAAACATGGATAAACACAGAAACACATTTTTTCATTGTTAAATACACCAGATTTTCTTTTAAATTGTAGATTTAGAATTTATATTTATATATATAGTTAATATTAATATCATTTTATATATACTGTATATTTACAATAACATTTATTTGATGTATTTTGTTTTGTTCTAAATGCATCACATCAATATTTCTCTTACATGTTCATTTATCACATTGCTATATGTCTGAACTGTTAGAATAAAACAACATTCATATGAAAGATGTATAAATTCTTAACTTTAAGAAATAATACACCATGTATTCTATCTTAAAGCACAAAGCAGTGTGGGAAATCAATGAATGCATGCAGAGGGAGGGATATGATAATGAGGGGGTGTGTCCACACGCAGACAGACACATATGATTGGACAGAAAGAGTCAGGCCCTCCAGACGGACGTTTTCTGTTGATATTTGCCACTTTTGAACAATGTGTCGACGTGAAATCACGTCTTTAGTTGCATATTGCAGTATTAGCCGCACATTTGACACATTATCCAAAGCTGATGGACTACACTAGCAGGGGTGCGTCTGATCCGAGACACCATCAGATGTGTTGTTCGGCTGCTTTAAAAAAAAGATCGGTGGGAATCAACCATGAAGAAAACAGAAAAAAAAAAAGATTGGCATGCCTGAAAAAACGCCATGCCGACATGCATACGCAAAAACAGTGATGCTAAATGAAAGGAACGACCATTCAGACATGTGCATCTCCATTTGCTGCTTCTTGCTGCCGCAACTCTTCATTTCCACACAGCGCGGTGCAGGCAAACTAGCTTAACCAGTTTTAGTTCAGCTACATGACTAGTAACTCACCGAAATGTGATATTTGGTTCCCCTCGACTAAACGTCTCTACAAAACACTTCGGTCGCAGCAAACAAAGGTCATGAAGTGAATTAGGAGCTGATTATCAGAAGCCGCCCGGAGCGTTCAGGCTCGATGCAATAATAGACTAGTTTGTTTAGGTAGCTCAGTTTCTACTAGCCATGTAGTCTGAAGCAGAAGCAGGTTTCTTGGTTGGTCTCTGGAGCGAGAGAGATCTAACGCAGGCCCGGGATCCTAACCTAGAAGACAACTGGGGCGACTCTGTGGTTCCTTTGGTTGAGCACTTCTTTTGGCGAGGGGTGCCGGGACCCGGAGGACCCAATATCATATCTAACCTGGCAAAGCAAATAGAGTAGAGGACAGCAGAATGCAGAGTGACGTGACACGAGCGGCGCAAACCCAAACCAACAACAACAACAAACCCTCCAAATATATTCCAGACATCACCGTGAAAAGCTCTCGCACTTGCTGTCAGCGATCAACATGTGATGAAAGTATGCCAGTGATGTTTTCAAAATGTGTGCTTGTTTATAAGCAGGAATATATTCACATGTCAAATCATAACCACAGTCATTTATTCATACATACAGGAGGACTGGCCTAAAACAAGACGGATGTGACTGTGATGGATTAGTAGGTAGGCAGCAGTTTACGTACACTGAAAAGTGCTGTTTTTTATGAACAGAACTGATGGTTTTGATGAACTTTAATACTATTTCTTTCAACCAAACATTCATTTAATAACTCCAAAAATAGCAAGATGAATAAATAATAATACATTTTAGAATAAAACAACAAAATATTCCAGCTTTAAATATTTTACCTAAAATATTTTACATTTTTCATTATATGAAACATATTTTTAAACCTATGTATAAAAATGTGTTGGTTTCATATGGCATTGATAAGCTTTAATATTATTTTCAACCAAACTTTCACTTAATAACTATTATAAATATTAAACAATTATTATAAATTAAAATGTATTTAATATGCATTAATAAATAATAAAATGTTTCATATTTAAACATTTTATCTAATTAAACAGAGTAATTTTACTTTAATCTTTACATCTTTTTTTGCTGTTTATGAATACATGAAAAATGTATAATTTTTTTTACATGCCATAAAATAACAAAATCTTTCATGCTTAAATATTTTATCTAATAAAATATGATCAAATATTTTCATTACATCTTGAGTGTACAAATCTTAAACATTTCTTTAAACATTTTACAAGGTAAAAATATTTGTACAAATATGAATTTCTGAATCGTGAATATCACATTTTCAAAATTTCACATTTAATTCAATGTTTTACTTGCCATTTCTTAGTATTTGTGAAACTTACCATCAATTTCTGAGTGAAAATCGTTTCAAACTAAATCCTACATCAAAGTTTTGCAGAGTATGAACTGCTTTCGAATAAATTAATAGATTAATTTAATAAAAATGAGTCCTACATCATTATTGACCCACATATGCTGCTCTGAACTGCTAATATATCATGATATTGTATCTTAATTAATGAAAATGTAGATAATGTTTCTCAGTGGAGGCATTTAAACACACAAAAGCCACTGAAGACAGCGTTGGAGGCGGTTTTTGGGTATCATATACATACATGTGAGGATAGTTCTGATTCTGACGGATATGAACATCAAACCAGTGAGAGACGTTTAGGAAACTGAGCCATGCAAAACACAACACAACACAACACTGTCTAGTGTGTATGAGTCAAGCGTCACTGTCATGTCCGACGGTGTGAGGAGTGTGTGAAGAGAAGAGAGAAAGAGAAGCAGCTGCATCTGTATCTCTTGCCTGGACTGCAGATTTTTAATGCGCGCCAACATGTCCAGATGTCCGGCTGAATACTGCTCGATCACGTCCATCACGTCATACGGCCGCAGACTCTCTTTAAACTTTCGCTTGGACACCATGAACCTCATGATGCTGCAGGGACAAACAATCACACACATTATCACGCTTAACACTTTACACAAAAACAAAGGCTGAATCTCAGTGAAGCTTTCGAGAACATGTCCAGCTCATATTTCACCCAAACATATAAAGAAAGAAACAAGAAAATATGTTTTGATGACCTATTTATAGTACTAAAACCATGAAAAATATGAATAAAAATAAATAAATAACTGAAATAAAATATTAAAAAATAATTGACTTTTAAAATATTAATATTAATTTAAAATTATTAAAATGAATAATTTTATTTTGGCTAGTTTATTACTTGAAATAAAATAAAATAATTAAGAAATATATATTTAAACAAATTGTACTTATTGTATTTCATCTAGTTGCCAAGGCAATATTTTTGTTTAGTTTAATTTTATGTACTAAAAAAATAAAATAAATAAAACTGAAATGAAAATAAATAAAAACTATATGGTTATATTAAGCCATATTTAAATAAAACAAAAACTAATAACAATTAACAAAATCACACAGTAAAATGATTAAATGATAAAAACTATTTCAAAGTATTCATAAAAAACTATAATAATCACAATTAAACTAAAATAACATGTATTTATTGGATTTATTGTTTTTTTTCCCGTTTTCATTTTCATTTGAAAGAAAGTTTTAGTAATTTAGGTTTTTTTTCTGTCTATAGTTTTTTTATATGTTTATAATTTTCATACATTTTTATTTCAGCTTTAGTTTTAGTTATTTTAGCTAAGCTAATTTAAATAAAAGTGAGAAATAAAATAAGTTAAATGAACATAAAATATATAAAATAAGTTACAATAATTAAAATAATAAAACATATATTATTATTTGATTTTATTTAAGTAAAGAAAATGTTATTTTGTGGTTTTAGTAAACTACAATAACCCTGCACCATTAGGATTTTTACTTTTAATCTTACAGTAAAACATGACCTGAAAATGTTTTTGTGAGATTTACTTCATAACTGAGTCCCAGACACTCATCTATTTTTTCAGGCTTGATACTGACCTTCAATATTCTAAATATCTCATGCATAAGAGTCGCTGGCGTGATCTGAGCAATGAAAGTGTGAATGTAACGAAGGATTTGAAAGACTGAATGTAACACAGGAAAGACTGAGTTTATGAGGTAATATTATGTGATGCAGACTGCTGTAGTTTTATCAATAATATTACACGTCTGATGGATGCTGCCTGTCTCATCTTTGCTTACCACACGGCCCTGATGGTAACTTTTAGTCCCGGCGTTAAATCCTGAGGGACAAACTCACAATGGCAGCTCTTATTGTCATCAACAATGTCTTCTCCGGGAAGGCTGGCTTCTAAAAAACACAACACGGACAGCAGGACTCTGGAGTTAGTGCACAAACCCCCTAAACCCTCCAAAAACCTAAACTTAGCAGAGCTGCAGCCATTAACTCGGTTAACTAGCTCAGTCCCACCCCAGACTGGTCAGTGCAATGCCATCTTTATAAAGCTACGAGACGGGCATCATGGGAGATATCCAAGACAACTGTGGCCCAAAGAATAACAAAGCCATACAGTGACCCCAAAACTCATCTGGACACTTAAACAGTTAAACTGAATATACATCACTGAGTCAGATAATAAAATATCTAATTAAGTGCTATTTAAATTGAACATGTTAAATAAGTCGGTTTAAAATGATTTTTTTTTTAAAATAAATACATAAGGACAAAAAAAAAAAATAACTCAGAAATTGCTAGCAAATTTGACTAATACTAGCTGGTTTAAAATGATAAATAAATAAACAAACACATAAACAGATAGATAAATAAATAAATAAGGACACTGGAATTTATAGAAAATTGATAGCAAATTTAAATTAATAAAAAAAAAATGATAATAATATTTTCTGATAAAACACATTCCAATAATGTGCTTTGAAAAATACATATTTTTTACAGTGCAAAGTGTTTGTGTTTGTTAAACGTTAGTGAAACATGCTCATAGTTAATTTAATGAACTACAACTCCATCAAGCATCAAGTTATAAAGTAAAAAAAAAATTGCAAAATTGTGCAGATTTGATATTTTGTATCTAATGCAGTGACATTCAGACACGTTTAAGTGTAACTTCAGTCCAATTTTTTTTTTTTTTTTTTTTTTGAGGCTGCTGTAAAAACAAACAGCAATGCACTTTTCCATACAAATAAACGAATAATTCTTTCATCACACTGACTTTGTAGAAATACTGGCATATTTTTGTCAAAGGACATTATTTAATGAAGTATTTGACTATGAGTGAGTTAATAAAGCACTGAGGCAACTGTCAAATATGTTAATGGCCATAATGAAATGCTTTCTTCAATTTAATTGACTGTTTTAAATGATTTTCTAGAGCATTGGTAGTTGATGAAACTTGTACGTAACCAGTGATACCTCAGTGCTGGATTCGTCTAAACTACCTTGAATCTTAAAGCAGCGGCTCCCAACTGATTTTATGTTGAACACCCAACACAATGCCAAACCTGGAACCAGCATTTAATGTTATACAGGTCATATTTTCTTTATCAAAACAGATCTGTAACTAACTTTTGGGTCACGACTCTCACCTGTTGAGAAGCACTGATTTAGAGTCATTAACACTTTAGAGGGATAGTTCAACCAAAACTGAACATTTGCTGTTAGTTTACTCATCCTCAGGCTGTCTAAGATGTAGGCGGCTTTTTTTCTTCAGTAGAGCGGTAAGAACGTTTTTTTTTATCTGAAACGGTGGCCCTTGGTGATTCCTAAAATGCAAGTCAATGGCACAAACACAAAAATGAGAATAAAGTCGTAAAAGCATGCAATCTATTTCTTATTGGTTAAAATGAACGGAGACTATCTCATGTTTTGCGGCGCCTATGACAGGTTATAATGTTGTAAATAATGTTCCGGTTTTTTTGCACAGACCAATCATTTCTCTTCACAAGGACAATGCCAAACCTGGAACCAGCATTTAATGTTATACAGGTCATATTTTCTTTATCAAAACAGATCTGTAACTAACTTTTGGGTCACGACTCTCACCTGTTGAGAAGCACTGATTTAGAGTCATTAACACTTTAGAGGGATAGTTCAACCAAAACTGAACATTTGCTGTTAGTTTACTCATCCTCAGGCTGTCTAAGATGTAGGCGGCTTTTTTTCTTCAGTAGAGCGGTAAGAACGTTTTTTTTTATCTGAAACGGTGGCCCTTGGTGATTCCTAAAATGCAAGTCAATGGCACAAACACAAAAATGAGAATAAAGTCGTAAAAGCATGCAATCTATTTCTTATTGGTTAAAATGAACGGAGACTATCTCATGTTTTGCGGCGCCTATGACAGGTTATAATGTTGTAAATAATGTTCAGTTTTTTTGCACAGACCAATCATTTCTCTTCACAAGACCTCAATATATCATCAGGAGCCACGGGGACTAATTTTATGTTCCTTGAATTAAAAAAAGGGTAGCCACTGACGTGCATTTTATGAATCACCATGGAGCACGATTTTAGCTAAAAATCTTCTTTACTGCTCTACTGAAGAAAAAAGGCACCTACATCTTGGAGGCCTGAGGGGGATTAAATTAACAGCTAATTTTCATTTTTAGGGTGAACTGTCCCTTTAAATAACACTAACCAGCCCATTTTCTTATATTCATGCAAAACGCTGATTGCATCTGTCATTTTGGGTCACGGCGTCTTTCTCCCGTGTTCCCATTAGTTAGCACAGACCTTCTGGCACAGGACAGGTGTGTACAAATAAATCTACCTGTGCTTATTATGCCAAATAAACCACAGAGCTTTAAAACAACTGCCCAGCTCCAGACCCTCGAGTGAATAATGACGTCTGAAACCAGTTTAATGAGGTTGACTAGTTGTTCCACAGCTCTGTGGTCTTTTCCTCCTCAGGACTAACTAGGTCTCCTCACATGCAGGTAAAAGAGCAAAGTTTGCAGCCATCCACTAGCACTAGTTCTAGGGTTGGTAAAAACGAGCTCCTGTTTGATAATCTCTTACTGATTAACCCTTCAATTGCTGTGATAGCTTGGGGAGGAGAGATGGTAACACAGTTACAAAAACAACAACAAAACAGACCTGCTTAAAATCTATAACTTCAAGGAACAATGGTCATAATAATGAAAAATAAAATACATTCAGAATTTTCTGAAACTTGTAAATTCTCTGAAGGTGAACCAGATTTAGTTCTAAAACAAGATTTGGTTGTGCAGTTATCCAAAGCTTCAGTGCTTCAAATAAACGATTCACCTTCAGAGAAACGATTCACACTCTTTCTTGCATGAAGTGAAATACTCAAAGAGTGTCAGTTTTTAAATACAATGAAATGACATTCAAGTGAAGGTGCAAATTGAATGCTGCACACTAACAAGACATCAGGTGGACTTGCAATCGCAAGGTTTTCTCTGACTTTGCATTGCATTTATAATACGCTAACCATCTGATATCTTGATAGCAATTTATAGATGACAGCAAGATATTTCATGAACTTCACAGCATCAGTACTAAAAAGAAGTACAGCATGACTAGTCGAAATTGCTAGACGTTTCTAAAAACAAAACTAAAATGAGAAAAGAAGGGGAAAATCATTAATATACTGTTACTATTAAAGAAACTCATCACTCATAAAAAAACATGAAATATAGAAGGTTTAGTTGCATCACAAATATCCCATGCAGACCAGTGTAAAAAAACATAAGTGCAATATGAAATGTTGCGTTTCTGGAATGTACTAGGACTTTGATTGGATTTTAATGTAATTTGACTTCAGTTTTGTAGCTAAAATGGCAAATTTGTAGCCAGAAACCAATAATTATAAATATATGCATGTTTTAGGACATTGAATATATTTCACAGGCTATGGGACTTAAGTAACAATATTAGATTGATAACATTGACTAATCAGCCGTAACCTTTTTCCTTTTTAAAAAAAGGATTCACATGTAAAATAAAATGTAAAACTAAAAGTACTAACTAAAAAAGATTTCAATTTAGAGCATAAAAAAACAGTTCATCATGCTAAAGGTTTTCAAAGGTATCTTAAACATGCAAGCATTTTAACAGAAGAACGCATCAGATTTTTAACTAATATTTTTTCATTGTTCAAAATCAAACAGAAAGAACAGGGGACAGTCCAGCATTTAAAGCAGGTAAGACTTTACAGGCTGGTATATTCTCAGACCACTGTGATGTACTCAGTATAGAAGGGGAAATGAACTGGATCCAAACAAACCGATTTTTAATCAGCTTCCTCAATCAAAAGGGGGTTATGGAGCGATACGAAGCTTCCTAGTTATAGCATTTCTAGGCGCAATTTCATGAAATTTGGAGCATCTGTTAAGATTGTCCTGGTGTCCTTGTGCACCAAAATTTGTTAAGTTTGCACATTGCATTAACATTATACAGGATTATTAGTCAATATGGACTAATAATGCACCGAACAATCAGATATTTTAAAATTACCCGATTAACTTTTTTGTAAGAAAATTTTATGTTAAACAGAATGAAAGACCTAGGTTGAGTTTGAAAAGCAGGTTTTTCAGGAAATTGAAAATTGTATTGTGACCCCATATGGTTCTTGAGTTAGATACATTTGCTTATTACTGCACCACCTAGTGGTTGAACACACTAAATTTGGTACACTGCCTTTTAAAGACACGTATGCACATATGTCTAAATTTCATGATGATCAGATGATCACATTTGACATAACCGGCTGATGAACTTTAGCTGACTGACTGCTGGTGGCCTTTTAAGCGGATTTGTCCCAATGACAGCTGAATCCTTAAATAGAGATACATTTGACCTTCAAAACTAATGAAAAGTGTTTCAACAACAATAATACTTCTCATGCTGTGCTATAACACCATAAAAATCCTCAATTGAGTCTCTCTTTAAATTCATCCCAGCAGTCTTGAGAGATATGCAGTCATTCAAGAACGGAAAATCTTACATACTGTAGCTTTAAATGGGCAAAATAAATTAATAAATACATTTAGCATGCTGTATAACAGTGAGCACTTTAGTCAAGAGACCCTTGAGCTTTACCTTGAATGAAAACCAATTAAAACACAAAGGAATTAAACTGGACTAATGAAATCACATGTTGAGATTCTAAAAAGCTCAGAAAGAGATGGTTCTTTAAAGAACCTCTGACTGAATGCTTCTTTGTGGAACCAAAAATGGTTCTTCTATGGCATTGCTGTGAAGAACCTTTTAAGCACCTTTATTTTTAAGTGTATGGACAAAGTATAGGGACCTCAGACACCCCTTCTAATGAACAGGTTTGACTACTTTAGTAATTTCCATGAGTTCAAATCTTAATGTTTAAGCATATAATGATATTCTAGGGAATTGTGTGCTTCTAATTTTATAGCAACAGTTTGGCCTCTGTGTATAAGGCAAGGTTAAAAAAGAAATGTGTGACTTTAAATGCAGACCTTGAGCCAAAAACTCATCACCAAACACCAATGACTTGTACATACACTATACATAGACAAAAGTATTGAGACACCCCCTTCTTTAGAACAGAAAAAGGCACTTCCAAAACTGTGGCAACAAAGATGGAAACATAATTCATGCATTTAAAAATTGTATTTCCATCTCTGTTGCAACAGTTTTGGAAGTGTTTAAAATGACTCGACCCATATGTACAAGTCATTGGTGATGAGTTTTTGGCTCAAGGTCAGCATTTAAAGTCACACCAGAGGTGTTTAGCTGGGATTCTGCAGACCAGTCAAGTTCTTCCACACTGACTGAATCAATCATTTCTTTTTGAACCTTGCCTTATACACAGAGGTATTGTCATGTTAGAATAGAAAAGGGTCCTGTCTAAACTGTTGCTATAAAAATTTGAAAGACACAATTCCCTATCATTATATGCTTAAACATTAAGATTTGTACTCATGGAAATGACTAAAGTAGTCAAACCTGGGGGAGTCACAATACTTTTGTCCATATAGTAATATTGCTCAATTGACAGCAAAAAAATCTATAAAATAATTATTTTATTGTTAATCATAGCCAAAATCAAATTCAAAGCATATTTGCAGACTGGTAGTTGTGCTGTGACTGAAGCTGGTTAGTTTGACTGAATATGGTGCTTTGGTTTTAAGCGGTTGAATGGGAGCCCGACCCATCTGGATTGCCTGACCTGGAGAGTTCCTGTGTCTCAAATCTTCCTCTTGCATCTCAATGAGCACTTTAGCATCAGCATCCAACATAGAAATGGAAAGGACAGCATCAGGATCCACATTCATCAGAAAAAACGAGGGGGAAATCATAAACACACACATGGATTACAAAAGGTCAACTTTCCACAAGCTGCCGTCCACATGATTCTGTCCAATAGTTTTATTAGGTTTCACAGCTGACTGCCTTTATTTTCAGTCATCTGAAACTGTACATTATTAAATGAAATGTCAAGGATTCTAAAAAAAACATTTACTTGAAAATAAGTAGTGAATTTGCACTTTGTGGAAAGTGTAACCAAAGCACAGACTTTTTCATAAATTATATTTCAATATTCCAAAACACATCCTAATGATTCAGGCCAAATGTTATGATTGGTATGTAAAATAATATATATTTATGCCATAATATATGCCATGAAATCATATACTGCATTCATACCAATCATAAAACTAGCTTATCTTAAATATCTTACATAAATTAATAGCACATTTTAGCTAATAAAATAATTAGCTCATAATCTTCACCTCAAGAACATTCAGAGTTTTTCCACAAAAACACTGGCAGCAAAAGCAACACGTGACTCGATTATACTAAGATAGAATTGATATGCACAAACAACGCAGACAGAAAGAATTACACTGATCACAATACAACATTGCAAAAATAACATGCAATAGCACAACATAAAGACAGAATAAGAATCCTGATGTGTGCAGCTTGACTCTGAATCTGGATTATATAAAATTAATCTAGTTTTTGTCTTCATGCCTTCTTCTAAAAATATCAATGCAACTTATTCAAATGAATGTGGACATGTCTAACCAGTTTAAAACAATCAAAACACAAGAGTTTGTGTTTAATTCCTCAATCAGGCACTAGTTTTCACGTTGTATCTACTGCAACTTCAAATATACAAACTATAATGATGGTCTTGCACTTCATGATTGTTACTTGTTGCATTTGAATCTACAACTTTTACAACATTCTAAACTACCATTCTGTAACAACTGTAACAAATATAACATTCTACAACTACCATTCTGTAACATTCTGTGTATGTAATATTCTGTAACAACTGTAACAAATGTAACATTCTACAACTACCACTCTGTAACATTCTGTGTATTTGACACTCGGTAACAATTGTAACAAATGTAACATTCTACAGCTACCATTCGGTAACATTCTGTGTATGAAACATTCTGTAACATTCTGTAACAACTGTAACAAATGTAGCATTCTAAACTGCCATTCTGTAACATTCTGTAACAATTGTAACAAATATAACATTCTACAACTACCATTCTGTGTATGTAACATTCTGTAACAACTGTAACAAATGTAACATTCTACAACTACCATTCTGTGTATGTAACATTCTGTAACAACTGTAACAAATGTAACATTCTACAACTACCACTCTGTAACATTCTGTGTATTTGACACTCGGTAACAATGGTAACATATACCATTCTACAGCTACCATTCTGTAGCATTCTGTGTATGAAACATTCTGTAACATTCTGTAACAAATGTAACATTCTACAACTACCAAACCATGACCAAAGCGGACAGATACAGAAGGCAACACCGAATAAGAGCACAGGAATGGGTTGCTTTCCCTCACCTTCTGAGTTCTGGCGAGATGCGGCGCCTTTGAAGCGGAAGGCCTGTCTGGCTCGACTGCGGTCGCCGAAGCTGATGCTCTTGGGTACTTTGGAGGGACTGTACTCTATGCTGTTGTCGGCACTGGGAGAGCGTCGCAGGGGCTGCTGGCCCTGAGGAGAGTTCTTCCCTTTGTTCGCGGAGTTTCTCGGGCTGGAGAACACGCGTTCTTTCAGGCTCACTTTCTGACTGTGAAGGGTGGAAGAGTATAGAAGTTAGAGACTGAGGGTTTGCAGATGGTTTAGTTATGTTAGGAAAAAGTAATTGTGTCAAGCACACTCAAAAACTACTGAAAATTATATGAAAAGTTATAAAACATCACTGGATAAGTTGACATTCACCCAGGAGTTTTACCTGATTTGGTCAAATGCATAATAGGATTGCATGTTACCATTTTACACATTCTGATTGGTTGACACATTTCAAGGATGTTGATTAATTTATTATGATTGCTGGGCTATGAAAGTAATTCCATGTTTATTTCATAAAACCCTGAATATATCTGAAAAATGTCTTGAAACATACATAAATATGAGTAATTTTGCATTGCATAACCACCTTGAGTGTGCATAAAATTTTCATTAATTCAAGAGCCTGTCATTAACTTTGCTCCCACATTATAAATTATTATATTTACAATAAAAACAACATTTAAGCCCAAATTTAAGTTAATGAAGGTTAAAATAAAGTGTTTCCTATAGAGATTCATTCTCTTCACAACATGTGTTTCAGTGCTTTTTTGAAACATGGGCGGATGTATTCATGTGCATTTGGCTTATTAAACGCCACACATCTGTCTGCACACAAACAAGGTCAAACTAATACACACTCACACACACACACAGACACACACACACACACACACACGCACGCACGCACGCACGCACACACACACACACACACACACCACACACATGCACGTACGCACGCACGCACACATACACACGCACACATAAATAATGTCTTCATTGATGTGGACATGCATGGACTGGCAAAATATTTGCACACAAACAACGTCCATGAAACACATCCTGAGCTGGCAGCACTGATGACACCCAAACGGATATGATTCATTCAAAAGAAAGTATTACAACTCACATTTAACATCTGTGGTGCCTGAGAAATATTAGATCATTTATATGTCCGGCGCACATGATTTTACTAACCTCGGAGAGGGTTCTGGTTGGGCTTCCTTCCTGTGTTAGAAAACAAAATCATACTTTTTTAATGCAATGATATGAAGTCCTTTCACAAACAAAACACTATCTAATAAATATTAAAATGTATCAATTTAGCTTGAAATAGCGCAATGCAATTCATTAACACATAAACTATTCATCTGAGAGAATCAGAAATAAAAGTCTCCATTTTACATCACCTAAAGGAGAGACCGGATTTGCTCTTGAGGTTTCTCAGCAGATCGAGCTGGTTCAGAGGAGGGATGAGTCTGGAAAAACACACAGAGACTGTTGGCACACGGATGATGTGTGAAGAGGAAATGCTGTGCAATGCTTATGTAAATCTAGAAGCTTCTTTGGACAGAAAAATCGACAAAAAACTAACAAGGTACTATTAATAAATACACCACTGACTGTGAGAGGGACAGAGAGAGAGAATGTACAGGAAAAAGACAGGAATTTTCATATATATATGTGACCCTGGACCACAAAAGCAGTCTTAAGTTGCACGGGTATGTTTGTAGCAATAGCCAAAAATACATTGTATGGGTCAAAATTATCGATTTTTCTTTTATGCCAAAAATCATTAGGATATTAAGTAAAGATCATGTTCCTTGAAGATATTTTGTAAATTTCCTACCATAAATATATCAAAACTTTTTTGATTAGTAATATGCATTGCTAAGAACTTCATTTGAACAACTTTAAAGATGATTTTCTCAATATTTGGATTTTTTTGCACCCTCAGATTCCAGATTTTCAAATAGTTGTATCTCAGCCAAATATTGTCCGATCCTAACAAACCACACATCAATGGAAAGCTTATTTAAAATGAGATTTATACATCATCTGAAAGCTGAATAAAGGGTTAAGAATCTACAATCTCTTGCACAATATAATGACTTTTTAAACAGACAGAAAAATACAGAAAGAAAAAGGTATATGCTGACTACAGAGAAGTAAACCTGAAGTTTATAATGCACCAAATACTCTGGGAGGTTTGTTCAAATCACTAACAAATAACACTGTTTGGTCTAACATGAAATATGAGCACTGATAAAAATGCCTGACTTAACAAACAAAAACAAATAAGAGATTAATTTGCTCATCATTTGCACAAATTGTTTTTGGCTCAGTAGATCAGAAAGATTTTTATGTTTTTGAAAGTTTTTTTGCTCTCAATTTTTGGCTCAGTTAATTTAATAAAAATTCAATGAAAACAGTAAAAATTGTGAAATATTATTACAATTTAAAATAGCTGTTTTCTATGTGAATATATAGTTAAACTGTAATGTATTTCTGTGATGCGCAGCTGTATTTTCAGCATCATTCCTCCAGTCTTCAGTGTCACATGATCTTCAGAAATCAGTATAATATGCTGATTTGCTGCTCAAGAAACATTTCTGATTATTATCAATGTTGAAAACAGTTGTGCTGCACAATATTTTTGTGGAAACCATGGATTCTTTGATGAATAGAAAGTTCAAAAGGACAGCATTAACTTATAAATTATAATTTAAATAACGTTATAAATGTCTTTACTGTCACTTTTGATCAATTTAATGCATCCATGATGAATAAAAGAAGCCTTTGTTTCTTAAACTCCAATGCATTCAGTGCAATAGATGCTACACGTTCATCAATAACAGTGGTTCTGTGTTATCATAAACACGTGATTCTAAAGCTTTTATGTTCATATACTCTATTTTATGACTCAAAAGCAGCATTAGCTGATGCAACACATTACATATGACATGCAACATCACATGCATACCCTGCTGATTCGACATTCGAAATCAAAGCGTGATGCATGAATAAAACATGCCATAGGTATGAAGGGAGGGAGTGTGTGGACAGCTCTGTTGACCTTCACAATCTGCACAAAAACAGCCTCAAAGGTCAGTGAGCAGATCGATGCAGAGACGTCTGAGGAGATCTCATCTGACTCCCAGAGGAATGCTGGGATAGAGAGAGAGGGGGGGGATGGGGGATGGAAATGTGTGCAGAAGTACATGTACCTGTACATGGGCACCGATACAGTCCTCTCGTAATAGTCCCACGTCGAATAGAGATCCGTGCGATTCAGGTTTGTGGCGTAAAACCTCCAGGCATTCTGAGAGATGGCATTAAACAGAGTCATATTCAAATATAACATGCATTAAATAATTCACCTAAAAATTACATTTCATACAAGGACAAAATAATGACACGTGAGCTGTACATTTAATAACACAGACTGATAGTTTGGTTTGTTTAGGGAGGTTTGCTCAAATTACTTTAAAAAATAACCAAAACAACAACAACAACAAATTCATTTGCTCATCATAATTTTTTGGGCTCAGTATGAGATCAGATAGATTTGTACATTTTTGGAAGAAGATTTTATGTTTTGTGTTCACCGAGGCTGTATTTATTTAATCAAAAATACAGTAAAAACTGTTAAATTGTGAAATATTATTACAATTTAAAATAACTGTTTTCTATGTGAATATCTGTTAAACTGTAATGTATTTCTGTGATGCGCAGCTGTATTTTCAGCATCATTACTCCAGTCTTCAGCGTCACATGATCTTCAGAAATCAGTCTAATATGCTGATTATTCATTTCTGATAATTATCAATGTCGAAAACAGTTGTGCTGCCCAATATTGTTGTGTAAACCGTGATACATTTGATTCTTTGAGGCTATCAGACCTTTTCAGAGCTCTCAGTTTCACACTTGTTCAACAAAGTCAGTGTTATTTTCCCAGCTAACCGGATCGGGCAACACTGAGCATATCTGGGACGTTGAGACGAAGCGTGTCGTACCTGAATTAGGCCGGCAGCTGGATTTCTGCGCTTCTCGAAATGTTTCTGCCGATGCTGTTCCTGAACTTTCAAGGCAAACCCAGAACCCAGAATCCCCTGCGGAGCGTGAAAAGAAACTTTGTTAATGATGACTGGACCTAGTTCTTCCAGAAACTGAGCCGTGTCGTCTACTATTCTGCACTATAATGGAGTGTCACGACATTAAAGGGGTCATATCTTCTGATAAAGTGCTCTTATATTAGGTTCTTTGTTTCTCTGAGCTCTAGTTAGAATGTTTATCAAGGTTTTTGCAGCAACAATGAGTTTTTCTTCTTCGTTTCATTAGATGATTTTTTTCAGACTGGGGAGGATATCATACAACCCTAGATCACTTTTGTAACACTTTACATTTATATATATATATATATATTATTCATTGTATAAGTATCTTTAATGCATTAATTATTCTTTGTAATGCACCTTAAAATTCACTATGATCTCATGAATTACTGTAATCACATTTATAATACTTATCTATTAAATGTTACACCTTTAGAACATATATTTCATTCAAATCCATGGAAAACAGCTACTTTCTATGAAAGCCTGTTTTTGCCAAGAAAAAAAAAAAAAAAGTTAATTGCAACTTTCCTCGCAATTCTGAGTTTGTATCTTGTGATGTTTTTCTCAGAAATGAAGAGAAAATGTCTGAACTGTGAGATAAAAAGTTGCAATTACCTTTTTTATTTTAATTTTTAATTTATTATTACTCCAGTCTTAAATAAAATAATTTATTTAATTTGTAATTTATTTAGTATTGAATGAATGAATGAATCATTCATTTATTCATTCATTCATTTAGAATTGTGAATTTTGACTCGGAATTGCAAGAATACAAGAGTTTATCTCTCGCAATTCTGAATAGTGAGATAAAAAATTGCAATTACCTTTTTTATTTTACTTTATTTGTTATTAAATATTTAGTTTGATATTGCTAGAAAAAAGTCATAATTTTGAGTTTATATCTCACAAATTGTGAGATGAAAAGTCGCAATTAACTTTTTTTTTATTATGTTGCAAAAATTGGCTTCCATAAATTATACATGTTACAATGAAGCTGCAAATATTACAATACATTTTGACTTTGGTTACAAGTATTTATAAAAAGATATGCGTTATAATGTACCTTTATAGTCCATTATGCAAATTTTAAACTTCGGTTCCAATAAATCTGAAATGATGAATCATAATTCACAGATGTGTTTACATTAAAGCAGAACTGCTATGAAGAAAAGTGCACTAAGCAGCCAGTGGGATTGTTATATTCATAATAAACTATTGCATATCATTGCTCTTTTGTTGATTTTGATTGCTTCTATTGTCCTCACTTGTAAGTCACTTTGGATAAAAGCGTCTGCTAAATGTCTAAATGTAAACTGCAGTGATCTAATTCAGCGTCTGCTCTCTCCACTCCATTAAAAGCCTGTTCGACTCTATCTGTTCATTTCCTCTCGAATCCCCGGAGACTCACCGCAGGCAGAGCGAAGAACGACACGCCGATCAGGGTGAAGGTCGCGGCGAGGAGACGTCCGTTCCAGGTTATGGGATATTTATCGCCGTAGCCGATGGTGGTCAGAGTGATCTGTGGGACATTGAGGAGAACCGCCGACAGATTTCAGTTAGCCGTGAAATCAATTCAGTTCAGTAATCAATCACTGTCACTGACTGCTCTCAGAGGAGCCTGACAACAATTAGCTTTAAAAAGACTAAGTCACATTTCATACAAAAATTTTATTTAATTAAATTTCATATATATATATATATATACTGTATATATATTGCATAAAGAAAACAAAGCATATTAAATTGAATTAAGTTAAAATTAATTAAGTTTTAATTTAGAATATATCTACATGTATGATGAGACTCATCATATAGTCATACATAAATACTTGACAATTTAAATAACATATCATATATTCTTCTTTTATTTTTCAGTTTGGGAGGAAATATAATGAAAATAATGTCCCAGTATCCCAATGTAAAAAATGTCATAATGAAACTAATGTATATATATCTAAACAACTAAACACACACACACACACACACACACACACACACACACGCACACACACAAAGTTTATGTATATACAGATAAATATATATAAAATATAAATGTATTATATTAAATATTATTAAAATAAATATATTGTATTATATTTTTTATTTATTTGTGTGCATGTCTATCTCTCTCTCTCTCTCTATATATATACATACATACATATACAAATAAATAAAAATATATTAATATACAGGTTTTGTTCTGCTGTCACTTGTCGCTATGTATATACACATAATAGTATAATATAATATAATGTAATATCATATAATATAATATTACTTTGTTTGTTTTTTCTATCATGATTTACCCTAATATTAACATACAAAGGAACTGATTAATTAATCAGTCAGTCAAAATAAAGTAACAAATAATACAAATCCTTTTATCAAAGGTCACTATTGTCGAAAAAGATTTAAACAGAACAGCTCACACAAAGAGCAAATCGGAAAAATAAATATTAAGATCTGTCATGAAATTATGCAAGAGCACGAACTCCATCCACTCTGTGATCTTTCTGAAATAGCATCTCATCAAACTCAACGAGCGATAAACATCACTGCATAATTAATAATCCTCACAGAGTCCCGTGTGCAAACTTCAGCTGTGGCTCTATCTGATCTCCTTGAGTTATTTCCAGAGGAGAATCTACCCTGAGTGCTGATTAACTCTATAATAAAGCTGAAAATATGAAACCCAGCAATGCAGAAGCGCTTCCACACCAGAACACTCACAGAACGCCGAGTGCAAGAAAACAAATGCTGTTCATCAGTCCATAAATGTGGTTGAATGAAGTAGCGAGTTAAACACTTCTTCGAATGCAATCTGCTCATGAAATCATATCGATCTCAGACCACATTATGAGAGATTGTGGACACGCCACTTGACTTCAAGCAGGTTTGTTAGTGCGAAGGGCTTACCAGACCCCACCAGAGTGCATCGGCGTAGGTCTCAAACATCTCGTTATCCTCCTTCTCAGCGAGATACACCAGGAACGAGGCCAGGATCAGACACAGGAAGCCAATGTACCAAGCGGTGATCAGTTCCTGTTAAACACACCATCAAGAAATGTCAGTATCAAGTGTTTTCTCTGATGTTTGTTGCCTGTTTAAAAGTCAACAACCCATGAATGATGATGATGATGATGATGAGGATGATGCACTAAAGTGGCAATACAGTGTAGCTGCGTAATATTATGCTTAACTTTTGGTTTGGCAAATGCCACTTCTGATTATTTTACTATTGGCTAAAATGTGATGCACTTTTGTGGGTTATAATAGTTAACTAAAACTAAAATCATAAAAACTCACATTTTTGTTAATCGACATAAAATAAACTACATCTAAGACTGAAATAAAAACCACACTAAAATAACACTGGTATGATGCAGGGATATTATAGTCAACTAAATCTAGAACCAAATCCATAAAGCAATTGTTGTTACTTGAAATAAAATAAACTTTAACTGAAATAAAGTAAAATATAAAAACCTGAATTTTTTAAAATTTTATTTCAGCTAGTTACGAAGGCAACATTTTTTATTTCCATTTAGTTAATCCTGATGTATTGTACTAAAATAAATAAAAATTAAATAAAAAAAAGAAAACTATATAGATATTCTTTAAAAAATGAATTACCAAAACTTTAACTAAAATCAAAATGAAAAGAGTAAATCTAATTCAAAATATCAATAAAAACTATAATAGTATCTCAATGAAACTGAAATAACCCTCGTGTGATGAGAACCAGCGTTATATTTGCATTATTTATTAACTATTATAGTTTTTAAATGAGCTTTTATGTTTATACTTTCAGTTTTCATTTGAATTTTTCTTACATTTTTAGTAAGTTTGTTATGTGCTCTTGTCTTTTTGATTTGTTTTTGTTTTTTATATTAGCCTACTATTTAGGTTTAATTTATTTTCATTTCAGTGTCAGTTTTAGTTCAGTTCTAGCTTTTATTTATTTTATTGACAGCTAGTAATTGTAGTGCTTCAACTTGAACTAAATGAAAACTGAAATAAGTTTTTCATATAATATTTATATATTTTTCAGCTTGATTTCAATGAACAAAAATGGTTTAATAGTTGTAGTTTTAGTTAACAATGATAATGTGAACACTCACTATCAGTGAACATCTCAACACTAGCAAACTCCTGAAACAAGCCAAAGAAAACAACTTCCGAGTTCTTTCTCTGTCAGCATGAGCGTTTCTTTGCTTCTGTAAATGCATCTTCCGAAATGGGACACCACTCGAACTCAGACGCTGGAACGTTATGCCACTGCGACTCATTTTAGACTGAAAAATGCACCGTCAGCGCATCGCCCACTTTCTTGCCCTTGAGAGACATCGCCCGAGGCTGAACTCATGATGGCACCTGAATGAATGAAGACTCTTGACTGCAGTCTAATCCACTTCTCTGATTAATCTGGCCGAGAACTGACCATCTAGAAAGGAAGGAGTGTGGTTTACTTTGTTTAGGAGAAGGAATATCTGAAACAGTCGATGCCACAATAACAAAAATCTCATTTTAGTCTGTGAACAAGAGAAATGAGCAAACAGTAAGGAGTAAGAAGTGTCTTCTGCTCACCAATGCTGCATTAAAAAAGTCAAAGATAAATTAAAAACAGTAATATTCTGAAATATTATTACAGTGTAAAGTAGCTTTCTATGTGAATATCTGTTAAAATGCAATTTATTTGTAATCAAAGCTGTATTTTCAGCATCATTCCTCCAGTCTTCAGTGTCACATGATCTTCAGAAATCAGTATAATATGCTGATCTGCTGCTCAAGAAACATTTCTGATTATTATCAATGTTGAAAACAATTGTGCCGCACAATATTTTTTGTGGAAACTGTGATGCATTTAATTTTTCAGGACTCACAGATGAACAGAAAGTTCAAAAGAACAGCATTTATTTGAAACAGAAATATTTTGTAACATTATCAATGTCTTTACTGGCACTTTTGATCAATTTAATGCATCCTTTCAAAAAACCCTCACTGACCCCCACACTTCATTTTGTTATTTGTTTGAGAATTTCAAATCATCAAGTCTTCAGCAAAAGGCCTCATGGAGCAGCCAGAACAACATTAAACCTCTCAAAATCATATTTGGGCTATGTGCAATATTTCTTAAGGGCAGCTGAAATGGGTCTTTGCAGTTTGGAAATTGAGTTTGTATATTATTGATTCATGCTTCAGCTGCATTGTTTGAGGGCATCAAAATACTTCAAAATATGTTTTAAAATAACATGAAATTACATTTGCAACTGAAAAATGTCCTTAATCTGACATATTTTTGCATGAGACAGGATATTGAAGCTGAAAAAGTGATGCTTTGCTACATTTTGAATTTAGATCAATTTGGAACAACATGCATTGATAAATCATCCATAATAAGATCTTCATTACAATCATAACATTCAAAGGTAACATTCTGATTCAAAAGTAACAATCCCATTCAAAAGCAGCACTCAAAAGTAACACTCACATTCAAATGTAACATTCAAAAGTAACTCTCACATTCAAAAGTAACACTCAAAATGAACATTCCATTGGAACAATGTGTATTGATGAATCTTTCACAATAAGACTAGGAACATGAATTAAGAAAGTTAACACTGATTTCATGTTGACTTTAAACTTTGCATGGATATTACCATGAATTGCATTTACTTCTAATGATATGTGCAAAATAAGACCAGATGCATGTATTAATTAAGTAAATAGGGTTGACTTGATGAGCATAATGACTTGCTTTATCTATAGCCAATAGACCTTTATCTCTCATGAAAGTCTCACAGTGAATATCGTGAATGCCAGAATGTGGGATGAGATTTACGTGAGCATATTGGAAGTGTCACTGGTTACTGACCAGTTTCAGGAGTGTTTATCATCTTCGGTTACCTTGCTGTGAGCGTAGACGACAGAACCCAAGAGCTTCCAGGTTCCCCCGCGCCGATCCATGCGGATCATCCGGAGAATCTGGAGGAACCGGAGACTCCTGATAGCAGAGGTGGCGAACACATTCCCCTGCGTCCCAGCGGCCAAAACCGAGATCGAGGCGATCAGCACCATGACGTCTGAAAAATACAACAGCAACTGATCAAGCTAAATGTACAAGTATATAAAATATGGATGTGATAGAATATATGCAAATTTACATGCATTTGGCAAGTGACTTCATGCATACAGGCATGCATTTTATCTCTGTGTAGATAGAGGTAAAATAAAAGAGGTAGAGTAAAAATTGTGAAATATTATTACAATTTAAAACAGCTGTTTTCTATGTGAATATATAGTTAAACTGTAATTTATTTCTGCGATGCGCAGCTGAATTTTCAGCATCATTACTCCAGTCTTCAGTGTCACATGAGGGTCTAATATGCTGATTTGCTGCTCAAGAAATATTTCTGGTTATTTTTAATGCTGAAAACTGTTTTTGTGGAAACTGTGATACATTTTATTTTTTGGATTCCTTTATGAACAGAAAGTTCAAAAGAACAGCATTCACTTGAAATAGAAATCTTTTGTAACATTGCACGTCTTTACTGTCACTTTTGAGCATTTTAATGCATCCTTGAAGAATAAAAGGATGCATTAAAAAATGACTTTGGATTTACTTTGACTATTTTCGCTTAGAAATTGATAATACATTTCATAAATTATTAAAAGCAGCAAAACAGCAAGTGCATGAAATTTTGAAGCATTTTCCTGTAAAATGTACTGCAGTAATCCTCATTTACAGCTTTAAAAAAACATTTTGCCGTGTAGCTTGGCAGGCCTTTAAAAATCCTCACCGATAACACAAAAAGGTTTCCGGGCGAATTTTAACCTTCCCCTCCATCCTCTGTATCGACAGCAACATCCTGCAGACCAGATCCTTACGATGTATTCCACTCCGAAAACCACAATGGTTACAATTTCCTACAAACACACAGACAGACGTCATGTTAGCATGTGATCAATGCACACGTGTTAAATCAATACCTCTGTGATATTACGTACCAGGATGTAGAGGGCGTCTTCTGAGCTCTTCTCATATTCTCTGATGGTGGAGAACACAGACAGAACCAGACAGGAGAAAACCAGCAGGAAGCTGAAATGACAAGAAAAAAAACAGTTTACCTGATGTGCATTGCATTTGCATGTGATTTGTGCAAAATAAAACAAAATGCATGTAAACAGTAAATAGACCTGGTTTGATTGGCATAATGAACTGCTTTATCTAAAGCTGATCTGGTTGCACCTTGTAAGGCCTTCAAAAGGAATTATCCAGCAAATAGAGACAAAAAGCAAGTGTATAGGTGTAATCTGTCCTTCAAATGCCACATTAAAGGGTGTAATTGCATAGCTGACACTGTTTTTCTCACCATCTCTCTGTCAGCGTGAGCTCTGCTGCGGTTCCTCAACAAACTCGATAAGAATCCTGCAGGAAGTGCTGAGCTGGCTGCTAACGGCACTCAGCCGCAGACATATGAGGAACAGCGGGATATCAGGCTTGAGCTAGCACATGCTAGCCCTCCGCGTGACCACATTACACAAACTATCTACTGACACAAACATTATGATTCTCATAACACACCGACCCAGGCAGTAAATTCTACAGAGTGATGTTTTTATATTATCACCTAATGCAGCCTTCAAAAAAATGCAGCTATCAACTACTCTACAGAAAAATAACAGCTAATCTAAACTGACAGCTAACCTTTAGAGAAAGCAGTTACATCACAAGCTACACGACAAAATTAGACTGCATCATTTACATAATAAAATATTAGACTAATAACTGTTAGAGCTAATGCAATTTCATTAGAAAACAAAAATCATTTCATAGTGCAAAATAAAAATGATGTATGCACAGGTGAATAAGGAGAGAAACTGAGTGTTTTTTTAATTTTATTTACAATAATACTATGATTTAAATATATTAAATACATTATAAAATATATTACATAAATATATTATATATATAATAGACATTTAATTAATAATATATATATATATACAAACCCAATTCCAAAAAAGTTGGGACACTGTACAAATTGTGAGTAAAAAAGGAATGGAATAATTTACAAATCTCATAAACTTATATTTTATTCACAATAGAATATAGATAACATATCAAATGTTGAAAGTGAGACATTTTGAAATGTCATGCCAAATATTGGCTCATTTTGGATTTCATGAGAGCTACACATTCCAAAAAAGTTGGGACAGGTAGCAATAAGAGGCCGGAAAAGTTAAATGTACATATAAGGAACAGCTGGAGGACCAATTTGCAACTTATTAGGTCAATTGGCAACATGATTGAGTATAAAAAGAGCCTCTCAGAGTGGCAGTGTCTCTCAGAAGTCAAGATGGGCAGAGGATCACCAATTCCCCCAATGCTGCGGCGAAAAATAGTGGAGCAATATCAGAAAGGAGTTTCTCAGAGAAAAATTGCAAAGAGTTTGAAGTTATCATCATCTACAGTGCATAATATCATCCAAAGATTCAGAGAATCTGGAACAATCTCTGTGCGTAAGGGTCAAGGCCGGAAAACCATACTGGATGCCCGTGATCTTCGGGCCCTTAGACGGCACTGCATCACATACAGGAATGCTACTGTAATGGAAATCACAACATGGGCTCAGGAATACTTCCAGAAAACATTGTCGGTGAACACAATCCACCGTGCCATTCGCCGTTGCCGGCTAAAACTCTATAGGTCAAAAAAGAAGCCATATCTAAACATGATCCAGAAGCGCAGGCGTTTTCTCTGGGCCAAGGCTCATTTAAAATGGACTGTGGCAAAGTGGAAAACTGTTCTGTGGTCAGACGAATCAAAATTTGAAGTTCTTTTTGGAAAACTGGGACGCCATGTCATCCGGACTAAAGAGGACAAGGACAACCCAAGTTGTTATCAGCGCTCGGTTCAGAAGCCTGCATCTCTGATGGTATGGGGTTGCATGAGTGTGTGTGGCATGGGCAGCTTACACATCTGGAAAGGCACCATCAATGCTGAAAGGTATATCCAAGTTCTAGAACAACATATGCTCCCATCCAGACGTCGTCTCTTTCAGGGAAGACCTTGCATTTTCCAACATGACAATGCCAGACCACATACTGCATCAATTACAACATCATGGCTGCGTAGAAGGATCCGGGTACTGAAATGGCCAGCCTGCAGTCCAGATCTTTCACCCATAGAAAACTTTGGTGCATCATAAAGAGGAAGATGCGACAAAGAAGACCTAAGACAGTTGAGCAACTAGAAGCCTGTATTAGACAAGAATGGGACAACATTCCTATTCCTAAACTTGAGCAACTTGTCTCCTCAGTCCCCAGACGTTTGCAGACTGTTATAAAAAGAAGAGGGGATGCCACACAGTGCTAAACATGGCCATGTCCCAACTTTTTTGAGATGTGTTGATGCCATGAAATTTAAAATCAACTTATTTTCCCCACATTTTCTCAGTTTAAACATTTGATATGTCATCTATATTGTTTTCTGAATAAAACATTGAAATTTGAAACTTCAACATCATTGCATTCTGTTTTTATTCACAATTTGTACAGTGTCCCAACTTTTTTGGAATCGGGTTTGTATATATATATGTTCATATACTGTATACTGTAATATAATAATATAATGATTATATACACATGCACACATACACATATGTATAAACATAAAAAAATTACATATAAAAATAATTTATATATATATAGAGTTCATGTTCCTCAGTATGTATTCTATGGTTTTGTTTAATAAATAAAAAACTTAATAAATAAATACACACATATGTCACGAATCCGGTCCATGAACTTTCCAATTCATTGACTCTCGCACTACACACTGTTGCACATCACCCCGGACTACATTTCCCATCATGCAT